TTTATACTGCTAAGGAGCAGTTCACTGGTGTCAATCTCTGAAGCATGTAACCTAGCTAGCTGCGCACTTCCTCTCTGTCTTCAGCATCCACTCAACTGCATACTTACCCTTAAGTTCTCTCACAAGCGGGATAGCCGTCGTCATTAAACCATTCCGCCAAGCACGGTCCACAGTAGTTATCTGTACACTCTGTAGCCTCCGGGCAAGGCGCGGTCTCTGGCGGGGAGCAAGGCTGTCTGAAGCAATTGACGGGCGGATCACCGCTGGCGCAGACACAGACGCCTTCGCAGCACTTTTCGCGCGTCGCCAGGAAAGACTTTTGGTCGGCAGTGAGGTCCGAATATTTCTTGTGGAACTGCGTAGCATTGGGGGAAAGGGGATAGTGAGAAGGAAGGAACATTAGTCTCTGGCGGGCGAACTCCACATCTGGAAACAAAGAAGTAGGTGTAGTTATGTGTGATACGTACGTCGCAGAGAAAGAGGCTCGGGTTGGGGCCCGCACGAATCGGCAGCACGTAGGACCTGAAAAGTTGCAAGTTGGTGCCGCAGGCAGCGGATGATGCAGGCGTGTCAACGGTGATGGTCTTTGGTTTCGGGTCGCACCCTTTGAAGTTGTGGGTGACGAAGAGGGTGAAACGGATGCCAATCCCGGCGTTTGATCGAAAGAGAACGGTGGCACGAACAAAGTTGACGGTTGCAGGGTCGTAGTACGCGCGCGGGAGGCTGGGTGTGAAGCAGGTGCACGCTAGAGTAAGGGGGGCGAAGAGAGCGAGTAGGAGAGCGAAGCGAGGAGACATTGGGAGAAAAGTGTGAGGTGCGAGGGTGCGAGCGAGGAGAGGGTGGGTGGGCGGCGGTGGAGAAGCATTTGAAGCTGGGGCTGGGGTTTATGTAGGCGGGAGTGGAGGGATCCGTGGGCGAAAAGGGGATGTACAAGCGGTGGTTGTCATGTGCAAGAGGCGTGGGCTTGTTTAGTAAATTTGTATGAAGGGATGGCTGGATTGCTTTTGTGACTTGTGTGTTGTAGATGGGGCTGTAGCTACGACGTTCATTTTCGAACATCCCACCGAATGAGGGGGAGAGAGATGACGGCACTGAAGATCGTAGCTATGCAGGAGGAGGGGACTATGCTGATCTCCCCTCTATCAACCGGGTGGGTATTTGGATGACATGCGGCCTTAAACGTGGTCATTTGACCTTTCATGGGGCGGAAAATGGCCACTTGCAACTTGCTCTTTGAAGATTTTATTTGCCTGATCCAAGTAGAAACTGCCTTTCCCGGCCTGGTCAGCAGAGAATGTCAAGTCAAGTGAGGCGAATAATCGCTTGGGAGCATGGTTGAATCCCTGCTGCTTTGTATCTTTGCAAACACTTGAGAACAGTTTTTTAAAGTCTATGTGCTTTTGCTGCGATTACAGCACATTCGCTTCAAGACCCATTGATATAAACCAACTTGCGTTTGTTAGGACGGCCTGTACCAAGGGTACTGTACGTCAACATGCTGTACCCTTGGGAATTTGCTTTGCGCGTCCTTTTCCCTGGACACACACATATCTTCCGGGCTCAAAGACGTTTTGAAAGGGACGCATCCCGACCTCTAGGTAGCCAGCTGGCTCCGAACAGAAAACGGACCAGATGCATTTGGCAAAAGGTCTGAAACGTGCCCAATACCGTAGAAACTCGCATGGCCCCCGTTGGCGGGTTGTTACACGTGAGCTGCACATAGACTCGAAGTCTTGTGACAGACATGAGCAAAGATAACAAGGTCGGATCAAAAAGCTGCAAGTGAACACGTGCTTGTTCATCTGGGACGCATCCCTGCTGTCGAATCCGAGTTCTGTAAGCCAAAGCCACAGTAATAACGGCGGCAGTGAGATACGTGAGATACGTGAGCTCCGAGGTTCAGAGAGCGCAGTGAGTGCGCCTGCACACATGCGCACCTGCAGTGAATGCGCGGTATCTGGCAACTGAGGCTACAAATAGGGACACTGAGGTCCCATTCTAATAAAGAAAGGCAGCGACGCCATCGTTACTCAAACCTGCGGCTCCAAAAACGCAGAAAAAACAGTTGTGATGGGGAGAAATGTGGCAGCGCAGATCTGGATGCCAGATTTTCTAGAAATATCAACGTGTCACTCCAATTCAAACTGCAGGAAGGACAGCCTGTGCTTCACACGCCCAAGCGCACGTGGTCATGTGCGAGTCAACAGTGCCCGTGCTCGTTGCGGTTGTCAAATTATCGAGATGACGAGATGATGCGGTGGAGACGTTGCGTGTACAGAGGGGCAGGTGCGCCGGTGGGGAGTTGTTCGAGAAGTGTACAGTGTGTGTTCGGGTGACGTTTTTCTGCCATTGCTCGAGACACTGGATTACATAAAGTCGCATCGCACATGAAGCTGTGGTGTCTCTACTTCCACGATCATTGACGCTTGCCAAAGCGTTGGGGGCGACAGGGGCTCTCTTGTCCCCTGCCGACTGTGTGCGTGTCTCCGCGGTCTTTTGCCCTCTGCACAGGGACAGAGCATTTCGACAACAGCACGGAGGAAACAGACATTTTTTTATTTCTTATTGAGGCGGTCCTCGAGCGTGCACTCCGCCGTACGCTTGGGGAGGCCGGCGGCATAGGTTCCCCCTTCCCCCTATCTCGACGTCCTCAACCTGCCGCACCCCCGCCATAGTACGTGTGCTGTACCCGGATCGCAGCGGGCACAGAATCTGCGACGCCTGCGCGTCGCGGCAGCAGCGGCTGCAAAAGCCATTTCAGGGGTGGCTGCATCCAGCCAGCAGTGAGAGCGGATGCGACAAGCGGTGCCGTTCGAACAGGTCGGCGTGTCGTGGGAGGCATAGTGCACACGTGGCACACGTATGGGCGCGGGATCAGGTGAGGGTGGCCTCCGGTTAGAAAGGTGGACGCCCATTTGGCATCGGTAGACAGAGGGAATGTGTTATTGCGCGTACGTGTACACGTATACACCTGCACCCGTTGGGACGGCGGAGGGTACTGCCCGTTAAGGGCGGGATGGATCTCGCATCACGCAGCGCGAATGAAAGAATATAGGCGAGGTTTTTGTGCGATAGTTTGGTGTGATACGTCGGCGACATGCCGCGGATACCAGCTCTAACACATAAAACCCCCTACGGCAGAGCCCTGCAGCATTGCCTGAACCCCTGCGAGCAATACCTGATAGTGAGCCCAACAAAAGCGCCAGTAAACAACCGAAAGTTATCAACCGACGCGCACGTTCTCCCAAGCCCCCTGCGCGCCTTCCTATCAAGCTTGCCAAAGTCCCTATCGCACGTCTCGCGATTCCCTTCAATCCTGCCCGTCTGCACGAGGAAGCACACGCACCTCAGCACATCATACCTGCGGTTGAACGGGCACAGCTTCCGCCGGACGTTAGGGCATCGCCGAAAGAGGGCGTCGCGGCGGGCGGCGAGCGCGTCCGCGTCGAGCGCGGCGCCGC